GGTGCTAAGTTGCTCCTTTGTTCCAGAGGATCTTTCCTTGTGTTCTGGTGTGTCACACTGTGACTTTTGGCTATATTGCTTCTGTTTACTTTTAGTCAGTCTTGTCAGGTAAACAGCATTCTATTAAATGAACATAAGAAAGATTGTAGTTAGTATAACTTACCATACTTTTTAATCTGCACATGTAAGTGTCAAAATTAAAGCTTTCTGTGCAGCATTAAAAACTTGCCTTTTCAGTTTTGAATTTGTAAGGGTGTGATTAGACTCTGTTGTAATCTGAAAAGTCGCTCTGTGTTTTATGTTGTTTGTTTTTTTGTGTTTTTTTTTTTTTGTTTGGTTTTGAGGTGGTTTTTTTTTAATCAAAAAAAGCTGGAAGGAGGATAAATAAGTCACTCCACTGGCTGGGATCTCAGAACCTCACCGAAATGCCAAGACCAACAATATTTTGTTTTTAAGTTTCCAAATAGTAGATGACTAAACCTAGCAAAAGGCTGTGTCTTTTTTTTTATGCCAGGTCTCTAAGAGGAGTCTCATGTCTGGTAGAACTTGGCGAAGTATTTAAGGACAAACTTTAAAAATTGTGTGGGAGTCATCTTCAGTCCCTTCGTATGTAAAACTTGTAAAAGCTTGGAGGCAATGATGGCTGCAAAATCCTTCTGTATCTTTGTGAAAATTGAGAAATGCCTTCCTTCATTGTAGGCCTAGTGTAACGGTACGGGATTTACCAAAGTTCCGTACTGGTGGGCTACTGCAGGATGATGCTAGAGTAGGACAGCTATTCTGGCTTCATATGAGTTTTATCATAAACAATTGATAGGCAGGTTACTCTGAAGCAAAATTGGTCCAGACAACATCTCTGTGACAGGGTATTCACACTGGTGTCCGGGATACACTTCTGATATTGGCAGTGTTGCCAAATTATAGCTGTTTGTCATCATCGTGTTATTTTTGCTTCTTTCAGTTCCCCTGAGTATATGCCTTATTAATCTCATGTTCCATAGCCATCATCATTTCAGTATAACCTTTTTTTGCTGAAGGACACAGATGTCATTTCATTATGCAAGTCAAGCAGTTTTATTCTCTTGCAGATGTGCTATTCTCTCAGTTATGAAATGGTAGCTGCCACTAGATGAGGCAATCACAAAATATTCAAGGAGGTTATAATGTATTTTATGACTTGTTGAAACCAGAACAGATTTCCACCTCAACAGTCAGCAGCGCATCTCCTATGAAAAAAACAATTCTCTGTTTAAATTTTTAATTCACAAGCCTTTGAATAGCAACACTCTGGGTTGGTTTGTCCTGGAAAGCTGCTGGTGGTGTGCAGTGTTTGATTACATTTAATCAAGACGGGCATCAGCATGATGCTTCGCAGTTCTAAGTGCGTAGAATTGGTCTACAACAAGGCAACTAAGTGCCTGATGCATAGCATCAAGCAAGGCTAACTAAAGTCTAATTAGCAGAAGAAATTGATAAAGTAGGATTTACAAGTATAAAGCTTGTTTTCTACCAGTCACGGAGAGTTTGCTTGTCTTGCTTGAGCAGACTGTTTGTTTGTCCTGGTTCACCCCCCCCCTCTCTTTCTCTCTCCCCTTCCCCTTTATCCCTTCTGTAAAATTTTGGCTGCACAGCTTTGGGCATAGCTGTGGTTCTTGATGATTAGGCCTCATCTGATCTACAGGATCTAGTGGTGGGCTCCTGTCTCAAGAGCTGAAATGCTGAGACATCTAGATTCTTCTCACAGATGTGGCCAGCTAATGAACCTGCACACCTAACACCCTGGATTTCTCTAAAGAGTGCTGCTCGAGTCTCCGGCTGCAGAATGTCGTCTGTCAGGTTGATGGTGTCCGTTCGCAGCCCAGAGTACCATCCTGCCCAGCTGGACACGCTCCCTAGCAGGAGATCAGAAAGGGCTTGAAAAGCATTATGTATGGGCTTGGTGAGGTCTTCAGTAGACACGGATGGCTTAAAAGCCTTCTCCTGTATTTAGCATTTAGAAACAAAGATGTAATTTAGAAGCTTCCCTCTGCATTAGTTAAGAGTTTCATCATGAATACCTACGTTTGCTCTACCTTGGTCATTGTCTATAGAATGTGCTTGTGTGCAACGTTGTCAGGCCTTCAGGCTGAACCTGTTCTATTTTGCGTGCTTTCATACTATGAAAAGTATCTTTTTGTGTCGTTATTTACTGTGTTATGCGTATGACAAGAAGGTTATTTGCATGTCCAGGGAAATACTTTACTTAATGTATTAAGAACCTAGTATTTGAGTTGGCCTTCCTAAATACTGATGTTTTCTGAGTTTTGTGGTTTTTTTTTTTTTTGTTTAGGGGCGAAGAAATCTGTAACTTACAGTATGAAGAAATTATATAAAATGACAAAGGGATGGTTAAGGAAGACATCTTGACATCTTGAGTCTTGACATACTGTGTATGGGTAAATAAATGGTACTTTTTCTCTAAATATTTTGCAGATGTCGCTTTGCCTGCTTGAGAACATGAAAGTGCATTTAAGAAGTCTGTTCTAATAATTTACATGCCCAATTTTACTACTGAAATAGGAACTTTTGTTAGTGGGGGAAGTCAATGGTAATAGGGCAAAGGAATTATACCGTGTAAATACTAAGCTTTTACTATAGCTTGGAGTTTTACAAACCTTAAGTAAAAAGAATTGATTGTACATATAAATTAAAAACCAAAGCCACTCATTTTCTATGTATTGCTAGCTTTATTTTCCAAAATAACCTCAGGGTCTTTAAAAATATTAACTGTCCCAATTTTAGTTCTGTCAGGGACTTAAGGAACTGGAGAGTCCGTTGAGTTTTAAGTACATATGGAACTGTTCTCTCAAAATACAGTATTTCTGCACTTAGAAGTTCATCCTTAGAGTTCTTTGGAGGATTCTTGCTGGGTGCTGCTGCAGGGTATACACTTCATGAAGAGTAAATTTTTTTCTCAGATGTGTGACATTCTGAATCCCAAAACTTTGAC